TGCCGGCAATAAAAATATAAACCGGCTGGTGGTCGCTGCCAGCAGGCTGGGCAGGGAATTACTCTCGCTCTCTCTTTTAATCTGATAAACTTTTCACAATTTGTCATCATTTGCGGAGGATAGTCGTTTTGCAGAGTGAACGCTGCACAAAGCGAAGCGACAAGACAGACTAGCAAAGCGAGTCGATTTAGAACGATGCTCCCTTGACTCCCGAGCGGCCCACTCTGGGCACTCGGCCACCACCACCACCACCGCCAGCAACCTAATCGATGTTTGTTTTAGTGAAATGAATCGACTTAATTGTCTGGCGAGTTTGTATGCCTCTTCCTACTTGCTTGCCCCTTCGACATCATCATCATCGCTCAGGCTGTTTCTCGCCAACTTGCCACTGACCATTGGGATGTCAAAGCAGCAGCGGCAACGACGGCAACGAAAGCGGCAATATCTGCCTTCAATTAACTTGCCCTCTCTCGCCCACTCTTCTCTATATGGAAAGAGTGGGGCACAGTTCTTCCTCCACCTCTGCCTCTACTTGAACCCAGTTCTCCGGTGCGGGCATCTGTCAGAACAGTGTGGACAGTGTGTGCCCGAGCTGGTGCAGTGTGGCAGCAGCAGTATAACCAACACAGGCACTCAGACTACCCCTCGGACTCCTTTTCCTCTTCCTCCTCNGTGTGCCCGAGCTGGTGCAGTGTGGCAGCAGCAGTATAGCCAACACAGGCACTCAGACTACCCCTCGGACTCCTTTTCCTCTTCCTCCTCCACTTTTCATCCTTTCCTTGCCCCTGCTCACTGCCGCTGAACTGCGAGTATGGCGGAATGCACACACTTGCGTCCCCTTCTTTTCAAGTAAGTCGTTCTCTCTCTTTCTCATCGGTCTCGGGTTNCCACTTTTCATCCTTTCCTTGCCCCTGCTCACTGCCGCTGAACTGCGAGTATGGCGGAATGCACACACTTGCGTCCCCTTCTTTTCAAGTAAGTCGTTCTCTCTCTTTCTCATCGGTCTCGGGTTTGTGCACCACTTGCCCACCACTTGCCTGGCCATTGCCGCTTGCCCTCTTCTCTCTCTCTCTCTTCTCTTTTCCATTTCCTTTCTTTTTCTCAGTTCATTTACCGCCGTCGCTGCCGCCGCCGTTGTCGGTTCTCCATCACCAGCACTTCCACACACACATACACACATACCAAATGGAAGGAAAGTGAGTCATTCTGCTGCGCGCGCGGCGTCGATTCAATTCGCCGCCAAACCGCCGTGATGCATGGGATTAGTCTGCAGGGCACAATCTCTACTGGTGCATCTTTGCATATATTCAACTGAAAGGCACAGAACCACGAGTCTTGCTGGAACACGAAAAGTGGAAGAGAAGATGGAGCAGTAGAGCGAGTCTTGGCTGCTGCTTGACACTGCTCTTCTGAGCAGCACTACTACCCTTCGACTGATTTGCCGTGTGTGTGTTCTGTGTTTTCGTCTGTCGCAGTGCACTGCATTCTCCTGGTGGCATTCTCTTTGCCATCCGCACTTTGCCATCATCACCACTGCTCAGACGTTTCTCTCCTCATCTCTCGCTCTCTCTCGCTCATCCAGCATCATCTGCACGTCTAGTGAAGCCGCACAGTGCCCACTAGTACCCTGTTCTGGTCTGCCATGCAGTCTGCACCAGCATCATCATCAGCAACCGCAGTGTCGGTGGCGGCGGCGGCGAATTGCGCCGACGACCATGGCCAGGCAATGGCAATGCCAGCAAATGGCCCATTGAGGCGCCCATTCTGAAGCGAAGCGCCCAGCCAAATCAGCTTCAGCTTTAGCCTCAACAGCTTCAACAGCAGCAGCCGTCTTGCTGCCACTGCCACTGCCGCCGTCGTTGTCGTACGTAGCCCAGCTCTGCCTTAGCTGCTTAGCCGCTGTAAACTGCAAACTGCAAAATCCAAGCAGATGAAATATATCTTCAAAACGTGCTCGTGCTGCCACTGGCCACTGCAGATGCCCATGCCACTGCTCAACACACTCACACACTTGCTGTACCAGAGAGCACTTGCTAGTACTGGTGGACACTGAGATTGCCTCAGAAGCAGCAGCTGCAGCTTTGTTGAAAATTGTGCTGATATTGCGGCTCTTTTACAGACTACCACTACTGTTATCGACAGCAATTGACCAGTATGGCCCACATTGCCCAGTGAGTCCTCTTAATGATCAAAGTTCATCACTTCACTGCAACTATTTTTGCGTGTTCATTGGTGTCCACTAAGATGGCTTTGTTTTCATTTGCACCTGTTTTTATTACCTCTATCTAAGGTGCATTGACCACACAAACACTTGACTTTTTGTGCCGGCACAAACAGTGTCAAACACTTTGCATAGATGTGCTTTGATAGCGTTTTTTCTTCAATTGCAACGGAAGTTTCCTTCTTCTTCAGCTGACAGGACAGCCGGCGCTTTACAACACAACAACGACTTCTACTGCACCAATTCTTTTTGCAACCTTTCTTCCGTTTCAATCAGCCAAGTGACCCAAACTTACGTAAGTGTCAGCTTCTTTGAATTACTATTATGCATGCAGTTAATAAAACTGAAAATCTTTTTTATTCAAACAAAAGCTTATTCATAAATTGCCCAAGCCAAAGTGCATTGACCAGAAAAATTCTGCTTTAACTGTTGAAGTCTACTGTAGCTCAAATCCGGCCGGTTGCACTAGTGTATTCAAAGCAAATTGCTTTTCAGCATTTATTGTGACAATTCATTTTTTAAAAATAACTTGGCCAATCTGTTTGCTTTATGCTTAACAAAAGATGAATGCGAAAAAGCGAGTTTTTTTCATTCAATAGATCGGTGGATGCGCCCACCGATACTGCAACTGCCAAACACCTTCCAACAATGGCCAGCTAAATATTTCATGTGCAAATAAGCAAGTTGAAGTAGTCGTAGAAGTTTAAGGAATTTATTAAGAAATAATCTTCTTAGCGCGTCTAATTACGCTCTGCCGGCGTCAAGTAATAGGCAAGAAAAAAAGAGTGAAAACGGAAAAAAACTGTGTGCATGCACTGAAATGAAGCGCACACAACTTTTTTTCTGCTGCTCTCAAGCACTTGCCGGCAAATGGAGATGTTCAGATTTATTCGGCTTTTTTATGAAGAGCTGGCCCCTTTACAGCTCACTTAAACTACATCTGCTGAATGCTCTGGTGCTGGTGCCAAGGCAGTGCTTTCAATGCTTCTTTTGCCCAGTGCTCACACTTCCCAGAAGTCGGTCATCCGATGGAATCTGTGACTGCCTACTTTTGTCTGTCTGTGTGAGTGTATGTGTTGGCCATCTCAGTAAGTCATGCAACCAGCATATGTGCTCCTGTTTGTGTGTTCCTGTGTGTGTTCAGTGGCCAATGTGAGCCGTCATCTTTGCGAGTCAGTTGCATCTAATTTCATCTCATATTCTCATTGCCTGTGCCCGCCATGACTGTTGTCTTCACTGCGGGCATTTGTTTGTTTGCTCCAATTAAAATGCTCACATTTGCTGGACAGTACTGCAAGATTATGGTCAGTTTCTGCGTTGTGAGAAAGTGGGCTTTTTGGCTACTTTCTGATTTGTTGTTTTTTATGGCAAATACATGCACAGACTTTTTCTGGCGATCTTTGCCATTTTCTGCATTTATGCACTCTATTCCTCCCTTTTTCTATTTTCGGGCTGTCCTTTCCTCTACCACTGACTTTGTACAACCTTTTGTGTAATCCATCCTTGCTGACACAATCTGAAGTGTAATCAAATCAGAAAAGCAACATAGGTGCCTGTTTGTCTGTCTACAGGCTCTTTTTCAGGCTTTCTAGAAAAAACTAGATGCCTGCTTATCAGACCATGGAGACACACAGACAGAGAGAAAGAGAAGGTGCCTATTCTGTAATATCTTGAAACTAAAGCCCAATTCAATTTACCGATGTCATTGTTGCAGTTGTTAGTGCTGGTGACGTCGTGGATGTCAAGTCTTATTGTAATCTTTGCTTTTCCACTTCCCCTAGGTGCAGAAAATGCCTTTCAGCATCAGACGACTGGCTCATCTGAATCGTAGTCAGTCGCTGCAAAGTAGAAAAGATGGCTCTAGTAAAACTCACTCCAGTGATGTGCCTGTCGCTGATGGCACAGCAGCAGCAGCAGTGAACACTACCACCAGCAGCAGTAGCAGGTCAACTGACCAACAGCAGGCACTTGCAGCCGCTTCTGCAAAATCTAGCAAATCAATGGGCAGTAAAGCGTCCAAGTCAAAGTCCTCAAAGGGAGGCCACAAGGTAGCAGGCAGTAGTGATAGTGCCGCGTCCAGTGCTGGCGCTCGTGGCGAGGTGGACCAGTTGGTGGCCATTGCTAATAACTTTAATCAGCACTACAAAGAGCAACTGGAACAGCAACGACATGTTCAGCAACAGCAGCAGCAGCAGCAACAACAACAACAGTTGCAACAGCATTCGGCGTACATAGCCTCTCACCACGGTGCCCCACAGTCCTCGCAGCAGCACCAGCAGCACGGCGTACCGCCTAGCTTTGTCATCCGCAACCAGACGACAATCTCGGGCAGCGCCTTTCAACCGGTTCACCAGTCTGCTCAGCAATCAGGTCATCACCAGTCGGCTAAGTCCTATGAGCCTGCTGCACTGCCCAGCTCCAGATCATTCGACTCGAACGAGATCCGCCGATTCAATGCCGCCGTCGCCGCCTCTGCAGCTGCTAATCAATCAAGTAAGTTGGGTGTGCTTATGAAATATTCATCGCCGGGCGAATTGCAAGTTTTCTTTTTTTTGCCTGCTTGCCTGCCTGTCTGTTTTCCTTGCCAGCAAACTGCCTTCATGAACTGACTAAGTGAGAGAGTAGAGTGCCCACGTTGAGGAGACTAGCCGTTTCCAATAGCGGACAGTGTGCAGACTCTGCAGTGCTGCCCACATTGTCCATTCAGTGCTTTGCTTCTCTTTTCTTTGCATTTGGGATTAGACCGGCGATTAAATATATTAAATATTAAGCACTACTTTCATCGCTGAGGCACAAAGTGGCTCTGACTCTCTGGGTCTTCCTGAGAAAGAATCATAGACTATGGCATCATGGACATTGGCCTGCACACACTTGCACACACTCACACAAGCAGACACACACATTTTCTCACTCTCTCTATCTCCGACACTAATGCAATCGCCAAAGTTACTGCTTGTCTAATGGCTCCAGCTGGAGAATAATTTCCGTCTAATTAGATTATAATCGACATTGCGTCTTGTACCATTTTACCGTACAGTGGAGGTAGGAGAAAGTTGCTCCAGAAGGCACACAAGTTCATTTGCCTGGTCAGTAAGTAGTGGCGCATTACATCATGATTGATCAGAGCAAAAGAAGCAGGCACTTTAGTGAGAAGTTTACTCAGGCAATTGACACTTTAGTCCTAGACTTTACAGCCATTGCCATGACTACCAGTCGCCTACTAAACGGAGAAATTCAGGTTATAAACTAGGGCGCAGATTGCTAATGAACAAACAAATGCACACTTGCTGTTACTGCTGCTGCATCATTAGCTGCTGCAGGTTAATTAGGTTAATTCACAGTGTGCACACTATGGAAATGCAGCTGGAGGTGAAAGTGGCATCCCTCTCTTTCACCCAAGAAACAATGGCCATCTGCGTTGCCATGCTGCTGATGAACAGTTGTTCCCGGTGCAGCTCCGCCACCGCCGGCGTTGTTCTGTGAGCATGCACAGTCAGAGCCAGTGCATCAGTTTGCCTGAAATTATGCATTCATGGTGTGTCTCGGTCGTTGTTGCTGCCGTTTCTGTGACAGAGAACATCCAGACAAAGTTGTCCCTGGCAACCAAAATTACCCATAAGCCTACTTTTTGCTTGCAATGAATTCATATTTGTGATCTGGTCGTGAGTGCGTGAGTTAGAGAGCAAAACAAAAAGAGTGCACTGAACTACCTAGCCTCATACTACTGCAAAATGTAAAATGACGCAAATAGAGCATCCCTTTTCATTGATGCTGTGGAATGTCTGTTTACATGCATTGCCATCCGTTGTCAATTTACCAAATGATGGATGTGTCGTCGGGTAGAGTCTGCAAACACCAAATATTTGTCGCCAATGTGTGTGTGTGCGCGATTGCGCAATTTAAATTCATACGTCAGTGCAATCAATTGGCACTAATTGCAACTGACATTTGTGCGTCGACACGACCGCAGACACTGACTCACACTCATTGAAACAATGAAATTGTAAGCCTTTTTCCAAATTCCGCAGACCATTCGAGTGAACAAGTTCTTTGACTGTCCTCCACGTTCTTCCAATCCCAGTATTTAATGATGTGCACAAACGATAAGTAATTTGATCAGCAGAAAAGGAGCTTTTGAAATTGATACACTTTGCTTCACTCTTTCACTGGCGCTTCCAATGCTCCAATCTCACTTGCTAATATGTGCTGCCGTTTTTTGTCGTACCAGTTCTTCCGAAAGAGTGACTTACTGGCAGAAATATTTGTCGCCAAAGTGGTGTGTGTGTGTGTGTGTGTGTGTGTGTGTGTGGCAGACAGGAGTAACCGATTTACTTTTCCGTACCTGACAGAAAAACACTCAGCAGCAGTGGTTCACTCGAACAGCCGACTTTGGGTGCTCTGCTCTGTCTCTCCTGAGAAGCAGCCACTCGGTCGCCTAGGCAGCCTACTCATTAGTCAGCCGTCTAATTGGCTCGCATCAGTGGATGCGCCATGATGAAAGTGCCGGTGTGCCAAGCCGCATCCAGCCGACATCACTTGGCTCACTGGTTCTGCAGACAGATATTCACTGTGGAATGCTTTCTGTCTGTCTCTCTGTTGATTGCACTTGAAATGAAAAAGCCTATACGAGTTGTCGTTAATGTGCTGCTAAAGTGCTGTTGCTGCTGGGCGAGTATTTTTAACAGGGTCTTCGAAAAGTTGAGTCGATTAGTGAAGGACGACACGCAGTCAATGTGCTCTCTTTTTACTGCTTTTGAAACGCAGTCAAGAGCGCAATCGTGAATTTGTCGCTCTCTCTCTCTCTCTCTCTCTCTCTCTCTCTCTAAGGTAAAACGGGACAACAGTGTCAGAGATGGGTGATTGCCACCATCAGCAAAGGCAGCAGTGTCTATTAATGGTAAAGTGTCGACGTCGACGAAAAGCGGTAAAGGATGAGGCCTAAAGTGACGTTAACAGCAGCAGCAGAAGCAGTAAGATGAGCGCACTGTGCTGGAGCAACACTTCTGTCACTTTTAACAGCTCTTCTCTGCAGACACTGGTGCAATTCTCCCTTGACAAATCTTAACTCTTGCACACAGAAAAGAGAACTTGGAGAGACCTTGCACTAGAAGTGAAATTTGGAGAATATTCAAGGCAAACGGGGGAGGTAAAACAGAGTTTACTGATGAATGCTGCTGTTTTACTTAAGAATGCAAAAAGGGAGAGAAAAAGAGAGAGAGAGCGGAAAGATGGACTTAGACTGAAAGTAAAATTACACAAGATTCGTAATGAGAAGTAGCAGTAGTAGTAGTATTATAAATAAAAATTGAGAGCAAGAAACAAGCAACAAGCGGCAAACAGTGAAAGGTGTGTGTGTGTGTGTGTATTGTGTGGTTTGTAAGTGGGGAAACAAAGAGCACAAAGGNATTGAGAGCAAGAAACAAGCAACAAGCGGCAAACAGTGAAAGGTGTGTGTGTGTGTTGTGTGGTTTGTAAGGGAAACAAAGAGCACAAAAAAGGTAGCCTCTTCACTCAATCTTCTCTGTCACAACTTTTCTGATTAATGAGTAGGCCTCCTGGTCAACGGGAAACGCTCTGCTGGCTTCTACGGTGGACAGTGGATGGGAGCAGTGGACAGTGGTGATGCTCCTATTTTTGCCCAATTCGGTCACACGTGACTGACACTGGCGGTGCTGGTGGTGGTGGTGGTGGCGGTGGCTGCAGTGGCCGCCGTTCCGTTTGTGTTCACCGAAGAGCTGGAGGACGTCTTGGGCATGCTCAGCACTGGGGTGTTCACTATTTTGATGGGAATCTGGCGCGAGCTGGGATCCTCAGGGTGGACAAAGGGCGCCTCAATCTTGAGGTAGCCGCGCTCCTTGAAGACGCACGTCATGCGCTCCTTGTCGATGTTCTTCGGCAGCGTGTACTTGTGCGTGAACTCCTTGCTCTGGTAGCCAAACTCCGGGTGGTTCTCCTCGTGTTTGCCGCTGATGATGATCAGCTCGTCCTGCGTTGTGACGGCCACCTCTTCTGGCTTGTAGCTGGGCACTTCCACGTACAGTTCGTAGCTGTCGCGAACGAAGCCGGCCAGTCGGCTTGGAAAGGGGCGACCAATGCCTGGAGCTCCGGCACCCAGGCCACCCGGAAGACCAGTCGATTTACCGCCCGAAGTTTCGTAGATGTTTTCCGTGGTGCGGAAAAAGTTTTCAATTTTCTCGGAGAACCCGGGTCGATGATTTTCAAAAGTGATGGTAGATGCCATGGTGAAGATTCACTAGTGTCTGTAGTTGTTTGGCGTGAGAATTGGCGTTTTAGGTGATGTTGATGGTGGTGGTGGTGGTGGTGGTGGTAGGATAAAAAAGTAAGTTGAAGTACAAACGACTAAAGGAAAAACTGAAACACAAACGATAAAACTCTACTGTTCTGGCGTTGGCACTGGCGTCTTTTTTGTCACCGCTGATGTTGATGCTGTTGCTGCTGACGTGGTTTGCAGCTAGTTGAAGAGTGCTTTATATCAAACAAACACGGTGCTCTAACGGGGAAAGTTAAAGAGTGGGAGAGAAAGAGAGAGCGAAAGGGAAGAAAATGGCAATCGGTTTCGGCAATGTATGTGAGAGTGAGTGAGAGAGTGAGTGTCTGTGTGCCAGTACTGTCACGAATCGACCACCAGCACTAGCACAGCACTGCAGACAGGAGCGAGCAAAGGAGGAAGGGGAAGAGAGTGCTCGAATCGGAGCGAGGTAAAGGTGCACTCATTGGTGGCAGCAGATGAAATATGAAATGGCTCGCCGATGGCACAGGAAAAACACACATCCACAGCCGTACACAGTAGAGCACTGGGTGATTACTGTTGTTGATGATGGCTGTGGTGCTGCTGGTGATGGAGCAAATGAAGCTGCAGAATGGTGCAGTAGTCGGACTGACTGACTGACTGACTCTGACTAGCTGCCAGGAGAACCGACGACGGCTGGTGCAGTATGAGATCGGCGACAACCGATACAACTCTAAAGTACCAGCAGCGGCAACAACGGTGACAGTCGTTGCAGAAGCAGAAGAAGAAAGCGCCAGAAAATGAGAGAGAGAGAACCAGGCTGCAGCAGTACTGGTGCAGCAACTGGGATAGCACTGCAATGCGTCGGGCGGTCGTACTGCTGATGCAATACTTGTGCCTGTAATTGTGCAGACACTCTGCAACCATGGCCACAACCGCCGCCAACCGCCACTCTCACATGGTGTCCATTGAGTCATCAACTTACCATCCCAAATGTCAATGTCAGCCGAGCCACGCTTGCGCCATGCCATATGATTAGCGGTTCCTTGTACATTTCTCGAAAAGAGAGGAAGTCGATGTAGCAATGACGATGGCTGCAAAAATAGGGTTATTTTGGGTTGCGCTTGATAATGCTGGCTATTTTCAGGATAATATTGGGTTGTCTTATCTAGTATCACTATAAATAAAACTCAATTATTTACCCTACTTTTTTCCTTCTTCCCTTGCACTAAACCCAAACAGATCCACCATCGTACCAGGAATCAACGACACTGAGAGACTGGAGCAGAGGTCAGCAGAGTAGTCGTGCTGTCATGAGCGACGGCGAACAGGAACCACCGCAGATGGGCGGGGGACGTGGCGGACAAATGGCGACGATGACAAGCACCGGCACGAAACGGGTCCATTACGCGGCGGCCACCTTCACTCGAGCTTCCTCTCTTTCCGGTCATATGCCGAGTTCAGGGCAGCAGCAGCAGCATCACCACCACCACACACTGGCCCACCAGAGTGCCTCGGAGGAGAGTGCCGTTGGTGGTGGTGGTCCACCGCCGCCAATAGCCAGCCGACCTTCAAGGATGGTGCTCGCACGACAGACTTCAGTCAGTACACCTACGGGATCGACAACAATGGCGTCTTCACTTCTGAAGAATGCCGCTCTGCAGCAGCAATGTAAGTTGGTAGTGTTAACCGTGTGCACACAGTGTGTTGCAGTGCCTGTGCTCTAGTGCCTGTTCACTCAATCGTGATTCTGATTGTGCAGCTGCACTTTTTTATTATCATGCTGAGGCAATTGAACAAAAAGGAAATTCAACTTTCATTTGAAAGGAGAGAGGAGCTTATTTAATCGAATCAGGAATTGAATTTGAATTGCTCTGTGCAAAATGCAAATCTGTATCACCTAGAGACACAGACTGCAGTCGCAGGCGCCTTCTTCTTTCACATGATTCTCTAAAATCTTGCTCAACCTAGCCTGAAAACATCACCAGCTAGATGTAGGCTTTAAAAGAAGGCTACTAAAAATAGTTTTACAGCAGCAGAGCAAACCAGGGGCGCCAAGGCGCCACTCTCTTTCAGTGAGTCTGAGTGTGTCTAACTTTGTCTTTGTCTTTTCCTCCTCTCACACTCTTCTCCTGCTCGTCTTCTTTGCCATCGTCGTCGTGACTTGTTTGTGTTTGTCGGCCTTTTTTCAATGTTCCCTTTAGTGCCGCAAAACACACAGCCACTGTTCGATTGTTTACTTTCACTATCGGCGCTGTAGTTGGCACCAGCACTGTCCTGCTCACAGTGGCAGTTCAGTGTCTTTGCCGGCGGTTCCTTGCCTCATCACCCCTCCAAACGGAGCGCCCTCACTACCAAATGATTTCCTTGTGTACGTCAAGCAGACAGGACTGGCTGCGGAGAGCAGCCACTCAGCAGCTAGGCACTGATTAGTTCCGTCTGCAGACAGTGTGAACAGTGAGCTTGCACTCCCGTTGTCTTGCCATGAGTGCGACCCAGCAGAGTGTGATGTGCCCAAAGTGTTGAGCATCGACTCGTGGTGCTATTGGATCGATGCTCCTGCCAAAGTACACTAATCGATTACTGCCTTTCCTTGAGGAAGAAAACTCGTTCACTTTGTTCCTTCAACACCAATATTGAGCATTTCTTCTTTCTTTTTTGAACTGCACAACCGCTTAGTTTTTTTTATAAAAGTGAACAAACACAATTTGATTGAAGCAAGTCGAATCGTCATTTCCGTCATCATTCAACTCGGTGAGCATCTTCTCTCATTCTAAATGCATCTGTCCTTGTACCCAACCCATTGCCAGTGCTGAGAAGTTGAGCTTTCAAACTTGGCAATTTGCTTTTAAAGTTTCCTTTTTTGCCGCTCTATCTATCTAGTCTCCGTCTGCAACATAACATACGTTTCCTCATACGCATCACTCTTCTCTATCATTCCCCTGACTTATTCTGAGATGTGAAACGGGTGCACTATTCTTCTCANCTCTATCTATCTAGTCTATCTCCGTCTGCAACATAACATACGTTTCCTCATACGCATCACTCTTCTCTATCATTCCCCTGACCTATTCTGAGATGTGAAACGGGTGCACTATTCTTCTCGAAGCACCCACACCAGCTGGCGCCTTTGTTGCCGTCTGTAAAACCAATATTTTGTTTAATAGAAACCAGAATATTATATTTCCTTCTCTCTCGCCCAGAGAACATCCGATCCATTGCCTGCCAATGGGTCGACTTGTGTGCTTGCTGCACTATTTATAGAGAAAGTGTGAGTGTTTGTCGTATTCAGTGACCATTTCGGGTAATGGTTTGCCTTACTTAAACGTCAATTTATGGGCAATCTAAGATGACTGGCTCAGTGTTGCCAAATGGCACCATTAGTGCTCTGTGTCCATGTTCCACTATGTGCACTACTTTAGCATTAGCAAGCAGAAGCACTGAGCCAATGGACTGCTTTGATTCCAATCAAAGGGCCGTACAGTAAGGAAACGACACTAGTGTCAATGTGTTGTGCTTGGCACTGGTCACTGGACGACAATCTCCCTATTGCCTTCATCTAGGCTAGGCCTAATTGGTTGCTTAATGAATATATTCTTTTCCATTCAGTGCATCGTTTTGTCATTAGAAGACAGAGAGGCGCAATGATATGGCTGCTGATGGCCATTTGCAAGGGCTACATGTGGGTGTTTGCGACATTGTGCTTTAGTGATACAAAGACGCGGACAAAAAAACTAGCATAAACGCNATGAATATATTCTTTTCCATTCAGTGCATCGTTTTGTCATTAGAAGACAGAGAGGCGCAATGATATGGCTGCTGATGGCCATTTGCGAGGGCTACATGTGGGTGTTTGCGACATTGTGCTTTAGTGATACAAAGACGCGGACAAAAGTGCTAGCATAAACGCTATTTATGTGGAGCAAGCCAATCTCACGCTTAGTGCTCGCATGAAAAGACTGCCTAATGAAAACGTCTAAAAGTGTCACGATTGTCAATTGGAGGATGTGCAATGTTTGGCTCGTGTGTGTGTTTTTTGTAAAGTAGATTAGGTCTGCCAATTGATGAAAAATGCATCTCCGTGCCCTGATGTACTGTGCTTTTTTCAAGCCACTAATTACAGCATTTTTGGTTTTTTATTTCCAATCTTAGGCTATCAAAAGAAAATGATTCTAATCGATGGTTTAGTGTTGCAAGTTTTTTTCCTTTTCTTTTTTACTCTTCTATTTGCTCACTTTTGTCATCTCTAGATTAGGTCGGACTTAAGTTGACTTAGTGCTCTTTCATCAGTCACGGCAAAGTGCAGTCTGAGTACTTTAGTGCAAATGGTGACAAATCATTTCAACACATTTTTAGACGACATTTTTTTAAATAAAAAGTTAGAATAAATCGATAAACACTAAAAGGGGGAATTGTTCAAGTCCCATTTGGGTGAATGGAAAGCACTTTTAATTTCACTGTCATGTCTCGTCATGTTCTGTGGAGCACGTGCCTATCAGCTCTTCTTCTTCTGTTTTCTGCATTGACTATGTGCCCTGCAGGACTAATGCAGTAAATCTTTTATTTTTGAGATAAAAAATATACAGAAAGTGTTTTTGGAAATTGGTTTTATTTGCACTGGAATATAAATGATCAATAATGTGCAATGCCGTTTGGTCATCTGGTAGCAGCTTTAATGCTGTTTGCACTGAGATGGCACTTTCTGTGGCAAACATCGTTCGATCTAATAGTTGGCACTAACGTCGCTCTTTAGTTGACCACATCTTAACTGACTATGTTTTTCTGTTTCAGTTTTTTTATTTTGTACAAAAACCAGCTTGCGTTCTATGTTGTCCCTATCAGCAAAAGTATGTTCGCTTTTTCGCCTATGGGCCTTGCCAAAAAACTATCTTTTTGTTGTTGCTGATGCACTGAACAATTAATTTGGTTGTAATGTGACCAGGTCTTCTAATGTCTACAGCAATGTTTGTTGCCATTTAGTTGAGAAATTC